GCAATCTCGAATACCAAAGCAGTAAAAAAGCTCCAACTAATACAACAAATAGCATGTGGGTTAGACATAATCCAAACTAACAGAAACATACGGTCCCAATACTTTACAGAGACTTTAATATTTTGTGGTGGGGCTTGTATGAACAAAAGATTGATATTTAATGATATTTTTTGAAGAATGTACAGCATGTCTAAATTGGGGCAACATGAAGATGAAGGTACCTCTTACAGCTTTGACTATACATCCATGAATATCTTTCCAGATAATAGAAAACGGTGTTCTTATGTTAAGATTAGAGTGCTGTCCAGTCATACAAAAATAAATGCTATTGTCTCCAAAGAACATTTAGAGCAATTGGAAAGCAGGATTTACTTGGTAGAAAATTTGGATGGAAATGTGTTTTCTTTTTCGGAGGTTTTTTTTCAAAGTTTTTAGCTGGCAACTTCCATATTTCCTTATAGTACCCTAAAAATGCGTAAATTACATTAAAAACTAAAATTGGGATATAGATTTTTGGTTCCTTGATGGGAAAGTGTTCTTCAGAAAGGAAGTAAGGCATTTCTTCTGAAATGTTTCATTTAGTGAAAAGCCAGTAATCCCCTAGAAATCTCAGTAACAGTATTTTTGCCATTCCTGGTCATAGGACTGGCTTTTGAAAACCTATAAAACTGCAAAAGTTTTAGGTGAATATGAGATAAACTCTACTAGTTTCATCATTCTGTTTAAACAGTTAAATCTGATGTATACTGTAGCCTTCCCAAATGCTACTTGCTGTGTATGAGTAGTTTTTGTTGAGTAGCAATTAAAAAAGTTTACATTTGCATTTCCTCAGTATTTCTGAATAATCAGAGCTTGTATACACTCCGTACAATTTCACAACAGTGCTTTAGTTCAACATAGGCATATTGGAGCTGCTTCTTGACCGTTTTGCAGCCGGGGTTTTCATTTTCACACGATTGCAGGCCGGCAGCTCCTTGCGGAGGGGGATTGGGGGCCCCTGGGCAGGCAGGGCCTGGCAGGTAGGGCCTGTCCCACCCCCAGCCAGGGGCAGCCAGAGGGCAGCCAGGGGCAGCCCCAGCCCCGGGCATCGGGCACCTTCCTGGGGTAGGGACAGCTCAGGACATTAGCCTGCAGGTGGGGCGTCTGGATCCGGCCTGGTGCGGGGAACGAGGGCCAGACACAGCCCTGAGATGGCCAGGCAGGGCCGTAGTGGTGGGTCGGGCCCAGGCAGAGGCAGGCACAGGCACCGCTGTGATGAAGCTGAAGTCAGCTGCGGCCACAACATCACTGAAGGCCCAGACTTGGGCTTAGATGGGACCCTGAGCAGGGGGCTGGTCAGGGCCATTGAGGCCTGTTAGTGCACTCAGGGCCCTGACAAAAGTAGATGGCAAATGACTTTAGCAAAGTAGCTTGGAGCAACGGTATCTTTGCTACTGTCTTTTTCCTCTTACCACTAAGCAGTTCTGCTGTGTGTTTGCTTTGCTTCCAGTTTGCTAGCTTGCTATTTCTCCAGCGCCTCCTTTTCCTTTCTTTCTTACTACTTGTGTGAAAATGCAGAAAGAATTTCAGTCCGTATATGTTCATAAATTCTCATGCGGCCTAAATTACATGCTGCGGCGTGCAGACCTACAGTCTAGAAAACATTGCCCATAAGAGGTGAGATTGTTTCTGCTTTGTCAAGTTAAGTACAAAAATCAAAATGTTTCCCTGTTCAAAAAATAAACCCTGGACTAGCTGACAACTTTCTGGCTGATTTTCAAAGCACTCTCTCTTTGTTTCATGTATCATGCACGCCTAGACAGTTTAAAAAATGCTAAACCTCTCTTTGAATTAGAATTTTTTAAATCCAAATGCAAAGTGCCACCTAGTGGTTAATATATGGATAAAATGTATATATAAACAAAACTTTCCAGTACAAACCCAGTGTTACACATTTTTATAGATGAAGCAGCACATGTAGGTGAGCAAACTTGTTGCTCAAAGACGGGATCTCAGATAGCAGGATGATAAATGTGATGGCAATACTTATGTAGGCTGAAAAAATGAGAAACCAAACGTAGTTTATAATCTGTTGCGTTTCCTTTCATTATAAAGTATCTGCAAATGCATCACAAGTATTAAAGACCACACATTCAAATAAAGTAAGTGATCTCATTGAAACTAACTAACTAAGAATAGCATCTGCAGTATCTGGAGGAACAGGAGGGAAGAGCAGTAGAGGAGTGACACTGTAGCCACACTTTTCAGCGAGTCATTGAGCAAAGGTTTTCTGGGAAGATTGATTATTTCCTTGGATATGCTGCAAATGACACACCAGAGAAATAAATAGTGCAAATGAAGAGGTTGAAAAGAGATTGTATTATATAGGGATACAGGGAAATTCTTCTAGACACCACAGAAATAGAGATGAAGAACCTTTTTTTTTCTTTGCTATCTTTATTAGTAGGTAAAGAAGGAGGTAAAGAATATAGTAGTAGAGATGCACAGGAAAAGTTATGGAACTAAGATGGATCAAGAGCTGGACTGGTTTTATATGTGTACATATCAGGGTGAAAGGACAAAAACATTCAAGACTTGAGAATCTATTGAAGCTGGATGCAAACAGAGACTAAATCAATGAACGAACATAAAAGGATATAAATGTACATTAAAGTACTTTTGACTACTTAGAATAATTTTAAAAAAATATGATAAATAAAGAAAATTGCAGACTTATGAAAATAAACACTGGAACAATTTAAGTTTTGTTTAAAATGTGAGATATTTTCTATAGAATTATTGGTAGAATTGTTACCAGAACTAAAACTTAAAACCTTGTTTAAAACTGCAAATAAATATGTTTTGTATCTTAATTGATTAGTATCTTTTGGAGATAGAAGGAAAGAGGCTTATATATGCAGGAGATGGGTAAAACTTCCAGAGAATAAGAGTGTACATAATGATTTTATGAAATGCGGCAGTGATGGATGACAGTCCAGAAATCCTAACACTGAATGAATTAATAGCTGGACAGAAAGTAGTAGAGAGTGAGTGAGGAGAGAGTAGACTATCAAGCTTGATCAACCTAGATATTCTATGTGCAGAAAGAGACACATTTAGCATAGCATTTATCGCACCTTCATTTTCCAACAGTGTAGGTATTCATAGCACTGTAGACTGCTCTGTAGTCACTGGGGAGAAATAGGCAATTGTTGGGAGCAATTAACCTGGCCTGTTTTCATGTGTTTTTGGATGAAGTGAATTGTGCTTTGTCACCCTCTGACAATATTGCATATGTCGTCATTGTTGTAAAAGGATACCATGGTGGGTAAAGAGCGGTATCTACTTGAAGACCTGTGAAACTCACCAAGGTCTCCAGTTGTCCCACATCTTGAATTTCCAAGATCAGTGGGAAATTAATTAGTAGTTTCAATTTTGCACAATTAAGCTCATGCTGTACAATAGAGATATATTGTTGGGATGGAAGAGACAAATTGATGCAAGTGTAGTAAGAACGGACTTGTTAATCATATCCCATCTCTGCCTGAGGGTATGTTTTGCTAAGAGAAGAAAACCATATATGACTGCAATGTTGTCAAAAATGTGTAGTAATAGGAGGAGGGGCAAATGAGGAAAGGTGTGAGTTGAAATCCCAGGAAAGTGCATATTGTGTAACAGTTGTACTTCTAACAGCCCCTAGCAGCGCACCAGTAACACCATCATTTCAGCATTCAGCCCTAGACCAGTTTTCAAAAGCACACTGTAGTCATTCAGTGACTATAAATGCTTCCAGGACATCTCAGCACTTTTATCAGATTTCCTGTACCATAATAAATAAGCCTGTAAATATACATAAATTGAGGCTTAATGTTCTTCTTGGAGTTCTGATGACAGCCACTCAAGTTTCACTCTTATGATTGTTGATGCATCTGAATGTAGTCTAGCTGTAGGAAATACATTTTTTGTGTTATTTCATCTGTTTGATTTAAGGAGTCTGAAAAAGTATCATTCTCTCCTGTGCCATAGATGCCTGTAAAGTTCTAAAATACTGAGGAAAGACTAATGTAAAAAATACATTTGCCAGAAAACATTAGTGACTTGTAATGTTTTAAATGTCAAAAACTTGTATACTGGTTTCCTTCTGCAAGCTAGCTTCAAGATCTCATACAAATTCTGTTGATTAATTTGTAAAGGCCTCTGAACTGTTTGCAGATTACTGTAGCAAATCCACCATTTTACAGAGAGTATACTGAACAAAAGGGAAAATTTGTGAAAGTCATCAGCTTTTATGGGTGTGCATTAACACTTTCATGACTCATCTCAGCTCTCACTTGTTCGTGGAAATGGGGATGAACTAAAAAGGTCCGAAGTCGCACAAGATGCTGAATATTCTTGTGTACTCCAGGGCTTGTTTATGCTGGCTCAGGCAGTACATCCATCAAAGATACTGCTTTTGAGCCACATTTATAGAGACATCAGCACGAGCAAAACTGTAACAAGTAATTACTAGTACTACTACAAAGCACGCCTATAACATTTTATGACCATCTTTCCTGAAATAAATATACAGACGCATTCTTTGTTCAAATCTCTGTTATTTAGTTTAGGAGAGATTATTTTGTTAGTCCATGCCCATTGTTCCAAAAATTCTCTGGTTATGACGCGCTCCCATTGTATTTGTAATGCTGAGTCCAGTGAACTACTTTTACTTTTTTAACATTTTCTTATCTTTTCTTAGCATGATCCCATCAAAATGATGTAGTTTTAATTTTTTGCAAACAGTGTATTAACTGACCTAAATATAAGCTGGTTAATCAACAGATTCTTATGATTCCCTTAACATTTTCATAGAAAATACCATCTTTGCAACTTTCTTGAAAGAGTCTAAATTTTCCTGAAACAGTCTAATCTTTCTTGAACTACTCATCCAAAGCTTCCACCAAGTCTTTATAAGGTAAATACAGTAGGGTGATTCAGACCAGACTGAGCTTTCAAGTCTGTTACTGCTGGTTTTGTTTCAGGATGTGTTGGAGTTTGGGATAACATCACCTGTTGGCGTCCTGCGAAGATTGGAGAGACTGTCACTGTCCCTTGTCCAAAAGTATTTAGCCTTTTTTCTGGCAAACCAGGTATTTCATTTTAAGGCGTATTTTTGCTGGCTTCTCTTTTATAACATAATATGCTAAAAATAGGGTGTTTTTTCGCAGTTTAAGGTTTTAATTTTCTGTTTAAGGAATTAAAATAATAGATTCTTAACGGAGCTGTTCATGATTGATACATCATGAAAAGGCCAAATAATTGTCTTTGTGGTCCATATGGTGTTCTTTGAGTCAGATACTAAATATATATTCTGATATAGTGACATTCATCAAGGCTGAAGACATTGCTTGCTCTTTTTGACCTATTTATGTTAATTATTAAGGCAGCTGAGTCTGACTGGCATCTTTAACAGTTGCCAGCAGGTCACTTGCAGGTTGTTCCTTCTGTACTTAGGAGGGGAGCTCTGCCTTGCCTTCGTGAGAATAATGAGCCAACATTAACACATAATACCTAAAAATTATCACTATTGCAATTTAAGGTAGTTATTATGAAACCTTTTATTCTGCTTTTTAATGGAACTTGAAAAGAGCTCATCAGTGTCTGAAACATTTAACTTTAAGTCTACCGTCTTCTGCACCATCTTGTCAATATATCATACTGCAGTTTAATTTTGCACTTCAGCTTGATAGTGGGGTTTTAAAAATGGATGTTGCACACATAGCATTTCATATATGTATCTCAAAATGCAGCAGGAAAAATCTTATCCCCATTGCTCAGGTGAGAAACCTTTGTCATGAAGAGCTGGTGAAAGATGCAAAACTTATCACAGTGATTTAATTCTGCTTTTGAGGTCTCTGGAGAGCTTTTTAACAATATTACTTTTAACATAGAGGCTAACTTGGAGTATGACTAAAATACCTTTATTCTCAAAACTGTTAAGTCTTGTTCCAGTAAAAAATAGATAACAAAAACAATCTACAGATGAGCAAAGGTTTTCATTCCTGGAGCTGGTGAATCTTGATTAGTTTATCATGGACAGTCTAAACAGTTTATAAAGGGGAAAGTATGTGTAATCTTCATTAAATCTTGTGAAATCTAGAAAAGCATTCAAATGACTCAAACGAAGATATTAAGGTGTTGTCATGAGACAAGGCAAGCTAATAATAAATATAAAAAATTCAAAATCTGAACTAAATCACACTGCTTCTGTCTATGTGCCAAAAGCTAAAGCATACACGCTCTCTCTGGGGTTTGGATGTTTGATATTGAACAACTATTAGTATCTTATATTACAATAACATTTTAGTTTTCCTATAAAACAACTGCAATAAATATTTAAGTCTGAAACCTTCACAATGCATTACAACTCTATCTCACTTGGGCATGGCATCATCAAGACTGAAAGATCACTTCCTTTTTATAGTTTGCTATAATTTTCCCATATACAGCTTTTTTTATAGCTACCTGTTTACTTTTTGCTTGTGGAACTAACAGGGTGGTTTTTTAGGGTATCTGTTCAATTAAGAGGATTTTTAAAATCTTGTCTTTCTATAATTTCAGAGAAGGAAGACAGCAAACATCTTGCATGGTGATTCAATTAAGATCTAACTAAGTATCTCAGCACCTTTAGAATTTAATTATGCTCAGGAATATATAATTTATTTAATTCATACATAGCACATTTCAAATTCACTTGATTCTTATGGCCGGAAATTATAAAAATATCTTTAAACTCTTTTTATTTAACCAGATTTGTGAGATGTATGTTTTAGTTTTTTCAGTGTTTAAGATGAATTAAAATTCTACTACAAGATAATCTAGACTACCTTATTTTTTATGGAAGTATTCCAAATCATAAGGCTTTTAAATATCATTAATTCTTTAAAGGATTTCTTAATTTAAATGGTGAGTTTGAAAAAAGTAGTTGTCTCCTCATCTTTACAACTTTTGGAGAACCGGCTCTTAATTTCTTCTGTGATGGTCAAGGTTATAGTTTAAGCCTACCATATAATTAATTTTCTATTGAATATTAGTAACTTTATATTACATGTCTTTTTATTGTAAAAGCAATCATATTATCCTATAATGTTTCTTCTGTATTGTACATGATGATGTAAGTATATGAGTATCAGAAAGTTATTCTGTCAATTTTTTATTCAAATGTATGTGTCAAGTTATAGGTTTTAAATGAGGTTGCTCTCTGAAATATTTAATTGCATGGAACGATGGTGTAGAAATAAACAATGTCTTCCATAGAACATTGCCTAACTGTCTTTAAGTTAGAAAGCCTTACAGTACTTATAGTAGAAAATACTTCAGCATCTTGAGTACATAGAGTCTTTTTCTTGCAAAACTGGCTTTGATATAATTTGTCATTCTGTTAACACATTCCTCTGCTCTGCCTAGTCAGAGAATCTTGATGTACTTTTAAAGTGAAAACTCTTCAGAGTGCATAAATAGGTTACATTTTCTTTAAAAAATGCCATGTCTATGCCAAATGACAGAAGTGGTCCTGTTGTTTGAGGAGACACTGTGATTTGAGGTCAAGGCCTTGTATAAGCTACAAAGATTTGGTTGTTGGTCAACCATTTGTAGGATATTTACAACTTTCCACCGAAGACTTTATACAAAGAAGAAATTCCAGTAACCAATCAGCAAGATAAAAATCACAAAAGCTTTAGTTTGGAGTGTATGTAAACACGTTTGGTTATTCTTGGCCAAAGTTGATCTGTGACACATAAATTTGTTCTTGTGTGGTGAAAACCAGACATCTTTAAGTCAGTTAAAGACCAGTGGTAAACTCCAAACCAAAGCAGTATGTTATTATAGATTTCAAGTATCATGGATATAAAAATTGCTGTAAGAAAGGTGAGGGGAAGTTGCTTATGATTTAACATTGTAAAAGTAAGTTATAATAGTTTTAATGACTATTCTTTATTCTGACATCAGACTCTTCAGTTTTCTCCTATTGAAGCTGTTTCATATTTTATGAACATTAGTTCATATTAATTAGATTAAGGAGTAGAATCATGGGTTGCCCCCATCTCATCTGCGTGACTTCATCTGGGAAAAGAGTCAACAACTTCTCTCAGTTCAGAATTTCTTTCTGAAATTTATAGGTGTTCAAAATTCCTTTCCAGCCATACTTGCACATCTCCTTTACATTCCTTGGACTACACTGTTTTAGTGATTGGTTCAGAGAGTGAGATTCAACGTGCATATTTATTTCCTTGTTTTTCAACCTATGACATAATTTGGCCTTTAAAGTGCATTACCAACTCTACCAACATTTGCTATAGCAGTAATTCATCACCATAGTATCTAAGAGCTTTTATAACTCTTCAGTAGATCATTTGGTATTATCTTCTCAGAAAAGCTTAACTAGGAGGTTAGAACAACTCTCACTTAAATTACTTTTCTATCAAATTACTTTACCTACAAATTATCCCCTTTATAGACTGAGCTGAAAGACTCCCTCCAGAATACTTTAGATAAAACAGCAAGATATTTCAGGTTTTTGCAGATGTAACAGAAATAGCTGTCATGCCAAAGCAGAAGCCTGCCGTCACAGCTTGGAATTACTTTCGGTTTTCTTTAGTGCAAAGGCAACTCAGAGCAAAAGTAAAAGTAATATGAATGAAGAGCACATGAAAGGAAATGGCTGGGTTGCTTTAACAGGAGTGCTAGGAAATACAGCATGTTAACAGAGAATGACAAAGTTAGGTTGTCTAAAGATTCATTGATGAGGAGACTTTTGAATCTTTCTGATTTAAACTCTCAAATTTTGCTTTACAGGAAATATTAGCAAAAATTGTACGAGTAATGGGTGGTCAGATATTTTTCCTGACATCTTAAGTACTTGTGGATATAATGACTATGAGGATGATTATAAGGTAGGAAAAATACTTTTTCTATTCATTTAGATGCCAGTGTTCAATACAGCTATCAGACATACTGTGCTTCTAAATAATTCCCATTTTACTCGATCAGAATTAATGGAAATCTGTAGTAATTTTTGGTAGCATTGATTGCCATATGCTTGGATTGCAAATGTCATATAAGATAAAATCAGAAATGTAGAATTCAGTAACTGTTTGAAACTCAAGGCTATAAACAATTGGTAATTGCAGTAATGCATCTGTTTTTCTAATATTGCAGTGTTACTGGGCTTATGCACAGTATGTTTTTCATTGTGTTATTTCTAGAAGTTTCTGTTGTAACAAATCCTAATGCTGTAATAATCTGTATACACGCACCACTTGATTGCTGGTATGTGTTTAAGTAAAATAGAATGAATTTAGGTCGTTGGAATTATTGCAAATTTATATTGGACTTTAAATTGTGTTAGCAATTAGAAGTGGTTCAAAAGGCTATCAAGATATCTTAAATACAGTATAAATGGAAAAACAAATTTGTTCACTTTGCAGATCCTATTTCTTTTTCTTTTTGTTGAGGGAAGGACTTTTCCATCACATGTTTTACCTATTTTCTATCTGGTTTTCTGCTGAGGCTAACAGAGCAACATTTTGTTTACAATGCTGAGCTCATAGTGTCAGTAAAACTCTTGTTATCATGAACAGATCAAGTCCTCTCATGAATAAAGATATTTGGCTGGTTGGGTTTTTCTGGATTTTAGTATGTGTGGAATAGCTCTAGCAGACCTGTTCTGTCTGGTTTGCAGAGATGTGCTGGCATTCTAGCTAAGACATGCAGTTCTTGCCATCTCTTTCTGTATTTAAAAGCCCAGTCATTACTGTAGTTGAAAATAGATAATAAAGAAAATGGATGGAGTATGTTGTTTTCCCAACTTTCCGAAGACACATTCTGAAACGTTGGTATCATCTGACAGCTTGGGGACGCACACGCATTACTGCTAAACCCGCCATTTTTAAACAGTCATTCAACCCAGACATTGTCATGTGGAGTGAAAACGGGTCAAGACTTAAAAATTCAAATTAACAAAAGATAACACTTCAAGTAGTAAGAAGTACTTAATTAGCAGATGAACTAGTATAATAGAAAAGCAGTTCTTGTTTGACATATTCATTAGTAATTTGAAGGAGAAGAATGAAATGCAAGTTGACTATACTTGCAGGAATGAACCTAGAGAAACTGGAAATAGGAAGTAATAGCAACATTTACAAAAGCCTGGAAAAGAGCAAATAATAAACCAGTGAGGATAAAAATCAGAAGAGAGATATGGAAAGCAGGTGATGAAAAAATGATTAACAAAAGTCCAATAGATAGAATATCATAGATATCTAACATAGATAGTATACAGAATAAATGCATAGCGTGTTGCAGGGAGAGAAAGGGGAAATGCAAGCACTGATTGCATTTCAAGTAACATGGCCCGAGGGCCCTGTCCTTTCTTCTCAAGTACCAGTGTCAGGTACTTGCTCAGGGAATATTCTTTGCCTGAAGACCATAAACTGGTTATTTCAGTGGGACAAGACAATAATTCTTTTCTAACCTTAAAGCTGACAAGGCAAAAAGTGGATACAATAGTGCTGGCTTGTCAGAAGACAAGCTGTTCCTGTGCAAATATTATATATTTTGTAGTTAAAGAAAGGACAAAAATTAGCAGAATAAAATCTGAAAAGGGAAACAGGAAAGCACATGTTTAAATCCATCTGTTGATGGGAGACAATATAAAAACTGCAAGTATCATGCAATTGAGAGATTTCAGGAGGCATTTAAGGTTCTGCATCAGCCAACTGTTACACAGAAAGAAGATGTTTTCTTGAATTCAGATCTTAGTGCTCAGTGTAGCACCTCAAAACAAAAAATATTTACTTAACGTAAATCAGTATAGTTAATTTTTATTTGATGTAGAATTTCAACAAAAAGAACTAAAAATGAAATCCTAAGTGTTTGGATACAAAATATTTTGGACACAAAACTATCATGCAACAATGTGCTTTGTGAGTGATGTGTGAAGTTGCCCTCAAAGTTACAGTAACTAAGGAGATCATATTTTAGGGAAGGTGGCAAAATACTTTTCTTATGGTAAGTCTTAAATTTTCTTCTGTATGCTTTCTCTGAAGACAATGTTAAAGGAGTAGGTAGAAACTGTCTTTCATGTCAGTTTGGTGCCTGCATCTTCACTGCTGAATGAATTTCCATTATAGATCCAATCAAACATTTATTCCTTTTTTTTGCTGTCTTTTAGGATATGGACTTGTATCTTCACTTGTATTTCTATACATATTTTTCATTTATTTTTGTATATATATGCATACACACAGACATATACATCTCTCTAGATATGCATCTATTTTGGGCAGTTTTGAATATTCTAGAGAAGGTTTAAATGATAGAGATTGGTGAACAAATATCGAACAGGCAATTTATTAATAGGTACCAAATTTTTATGCTGAAAATGCACTGCAATGAGAAAGCTTATTTAAAAATACCATAAGCATGTCATCTGTTATTTCTCTGCCAAGTTCACTGGTATTGTTCAGGGTATGAAAGAACTTGTCTGCTTCCACAGTTTGCATTGATTTTACTCAGAGTTAAAATGTTCAATTTTTATTCCATGTCAAATGGTACATTAGCAGCTAGTATAAAAAGAAATTATTTGCTTAACATTTTGAAATTAACTATAAGTTCCTGATACAGCACCCTTAAATAGAATGTATATTATGTTAGATCTTCTGTTAGTATTCTTTAGTGCTCCTGTCTGTATTTATAGGGGACCAATTTGACAAGTATAACAGTGTCTGAACAAACTATATGTATGTTGCTATCACATCAAATTGTAGATCAAAACCTTTATTATGTACTTCCAGTCTCTTTCCTATAAGTAAACTAGTTACTGCTAACCTTCAAGATCAAGTTTTAGATTAATCAAATAAGTGTCTTTTTTTTCCTTTTATGTTTCTGTTGAGGTCATGGCAGCACAATGGGAAAATGAATAGCTTGATTTGATCATGCTAGAGACACACGTCAAGGTGTGTTAACCCAATCCAAGCCTCACCGCAATCTTTCCTTTCATGTGGACATATTTTGACATCTTCTGTCTAGACTGAACAAGCTAGAGATGTGTCCTAGCTGTCCTCAGAGAGTATTAAACTCTCTGTCAACATTATTAAAATACAGCAAGATGCCTGGTGAATGTAAAGGACTGAAGTGTGTCCACTTTACTTAAAATAGTGACTGGGTCGGTTAATACGGTGTCTAATCAGTGTGAATTGGCCCAAGGTTTATTAGATCACACAGAAACCAATATATACAAGTTACAGGCTATGTGATTTGAATGCATAGGGTCATACAAAGACAAATTCATGGAGAGAAAGATCCTCAGGGCTGTTAAATGTGGTGATACTGCTGCAGCTTGTGCATAAGTAGAAGCATCACCTATGGAAGAAGTATTCCCCTATTTGGCTGCTTTCCTGAAGCATTCACTCTTAGGCTGCTGTCAGAAATAACATCCTGCGTGTGCTACCCACTACCTAATACAGATATGCTACCCAAGACAAGTGGAGTCAAGTCAGTGAGGTCAGGACTGACACAAACAAACACTGTCTTGAATGTCTCCAGCTACCTTTAGAAAACAGATGCATTACCACTGTCTGTGAAGTGGATCATTGCACTGGACTAATGGATTGTTTGTATTGAGTCTAAATTGAATCCTTCCCTCTCAACAAAATGTAATGCAGGGCAGCCATCTACCAATGCTTTCTCTGTGTGCCTATAAGTCATGCTGTATTTATTTACATTATATTCTGCATTTTTCATTACTTGATGATGCTACTGTTATTAAGAGATACTTAAGACAATGCTGGTCTCATCTTTGCTACTATTATTAAGAGATACTTAAGGCAATACTGGTCTCATCTTTTTTGGGTGATGTTTAGGCTTAAGGTGAATTGAAGGACAAATGTGTTGGAAAAGGGATATCATTAATTACTTGCATAAGGATTATTAAATACCATGAGGATTACATATATTTTTAGTAAATTCTATTTTGATCTGCACCATTTAAAGTGTAGTAGTGCCTGATAAGAAAAAAGTAAATTGTCCACGCATGTAATCCATCTCTTTATCTTTATTCTCTTATAAGTAAGTACTGCAAGATTTCAGAAATGGCTACTATGTTGTTGAAGTTCATTTTACAAAAGGAAAGAACTAGGGATTTTTATTCCACTTCTATTTGCATTTGCTCGTTTCAGTGTTTCTAAAGCACTGAACTCATTTACTAGACCCAGTTCTGATTTTACAGTGTTTGTACAGTTTAAGGTTTTCTGATATGTTCTTCTAGGATGAATATTTGAATATTACGGAATGTACTCTGACACACGTATCGTGAAAATTTAAGACCACAAATTTTAATATACTTGTAAGTAATCATATCTATGAATACTATACTCTCTTACATACAGTATTGCAGGAATATACTAGCCCACAGAATAAACAAAATGAAGAGTCACTTGGGATGATAATGATCGTAAATACTTTAGTAATGATCAATTATATTTTTTGTTAAATGAATAAAGAGGTGTGGGTTTTTCTTTTACATTAAGCGTGACATCTGGTCAATAGTAAAACTCCTTTGGACAAAGAATCAAGCCCTAAACTTTCTTCAGAGCATTTTGTCCTTCAGCACTGAATTACTCTCTCACCCCTGAATGTCCTTCCAAACCAAGGCTGAGGTTGAAAGATCCGGTGGGTAACTGTCAACTTTGCCTAGGAAGCTTCTGTGCTACGTCTATTCTGTAAATAAACAGAAGACTTCTGTCTCCTGAACTTAGTAAAAATAACATGAAACTAACTTTAAAGGAAACATTAGCAGAAAAAGGTGTCTATCCTAAGAAAACAAAACACAAGTGTGTGTAAGAATAGGTTTTACAAAAAAGTGTATTGAAGATAACACTAATTACACAAAAAC